ATGTTGTACTTCAAGATGGATCTAGAAATTACTTTTTTTACTATGAAGGCAACCCCATTTTTCCTTGTCTTTTCATCTCCAGAGTAATATATCATATGGTCTTCTGACTCAAAATGCCCCATAGCACATTAAATAATCTCTTGGCAGTGGCAAAGACACCGCAGCAGCACACCCACCATCCATGACCACTCTCACAGCTCCAGTGCCTCCACCCTGACCGCATCTGGACTCCAAAGGAGCAGCTGCGACATGGCTGCCTCGCAGCCTGCCAAGTCCAGGACCATGTCTCTGGTGGTGTGTCCATGGTCGTGGGTCCACGCGAGTCTGCAGCCTGGACAAGGTCTTTTGCAGCAGAATGGGCAAGACTGGAGGCAGCTCCTGCCCAAGTCAGAAGTTGATCTTCAGTAGTAGTTTGCTTGCATGTGATATTAATGATATTGTTTGATAATTTCCACATTCTGTTGGATCACCTTTCTAGGGAATGGGAACTATAAATATTGACTTCTTCCAATCCATTGTCCAGACAGCTGTCCTCCAAATTCCCTGGCATAGACTGGTGAATGCATCGGTTAACTGAAACAAGTCAGTTAACATTCCATCAATTCTTGGGACCTTATTTTTCCCCCAATGCCTTCAGTTCCTCCTTCATTACCATTGACTCCTGTTAACATGATCGTTCCTGAAATTTTTCAGTGTCAGTAAGTTGTTTTTATATCTTCTCCATCTTTTTTTGATGTTTCCTAGGTCATTCAATATATTATCCATAGCATCTTTCAGTATTGGGACTCAAAGCTTAAATTTGTTTTTCAGTTCTCTCTACAGAGCAAGTTCTCTTTTTATTTTTAAATTCCTGCTCTCTACACTTTGTTATAATACTTTGTTTTATCAAGCTATCCTTTGACGTCTTCTATTCAGCTGTTTTACTTCTGTATGCTTTCCCTTTGTTTTGGTTTCTTGATGCTCTGGTGTAGTTTTCAGAGTCTCTTCTTGCATACATTCTGCGTTTGTTTTTTTTTGCCCCTTCTGTCTTTGTAATGATCTTTTTGCTGTCTTCATAATGATATCCTTGGTATCCCACAACTCATCTGGTTTTCAATTGCTGCTGGTCAGTGCTTCAAACCTATTCTTAAGATGATTATGAAATTCAGATGGAATAAAGACCCTATTTTGGTTATCATGTCCTTGTTTTAATTTTCTTCAGCCTCAGTTTGAACTTTCTCATGAGTGCTTACAGGAAGACCTGTTAAAAAGACTATTATTCAGATTTAAGCTTCTACGTCTAGAACCAAAGAGGAAGAAATTGAAAATTTTACCAAATTTTGTAGTCCAAAATTGGCCAATCATGTAATCAAGATGTGTTAAGGATAACTGATGACTGATATGCAAAAGTTGGAAAATATGGGCTGGTGATAGAAATGAGGCTAGAAATAGAATGATTGAATTTTGTATTTTCATTGATTTATTCATTACAAATACCTTTTTAAAAAAAAATACAGATGGAAACTTTACAAAGGGATTGATCCTTTACTTAACCTAAAATGATGTATTTCTCTAGAGATTTATCCCATCTGAAAATAAATCCAAAGTAAGTAACGTGAAATCTTATCCTCACTCCTAAGGAGCATTTTGCAGGAACCTCGACTACGACAGATCTGTTGGTTTTTCTGAAACAGTCCCTGAAATATTCAATATTTTCTGCCAGCACCACGGTTTAAGTGTGTCTTCCTTATTTATTGTCCAGCTCTCACATGCATATAAGATTATTAAAAACAACAACAAAAAAACCCACCATGGCTTGCCCATGTGCACCTTAGTCCTCAAAGAGATATTTTTGTTTTTGTACACTTTAAAGAACTATTTTACAACAGATTTTCCCATTAAAATACATCATTTACTTTCTTGACTGCTGGTTCTAAGGAGACTGTCTGTTAATTCAAGATAGATGAAACTCTTGACAGGAGTTGGATGAAGGGCAGTAAGATGTGTATGTTATAAGCAACTTCCACCAGGGCCGGCCTCAGCAGATCATCTTAAAAGAAACTCTCCTGGTATAAGGGGTCTGGATTCAAGAGGAAGCTGTGAAGGCAGACAGACACAGTAGATGCTCCTGTAAAGAGGTGTCACAGAGAGCAGTGTCTGGTGGAGTTGTTTGGATCATCTTGTGCCTGGGGTTTTAAACAGACTTGGAGAGTTTAGTCAAACTTTGGCTTCTACTGAGCTTTTATTGATTGGAATAGAACCAGAGACTTTCTAGACCATTTTTTTTTCTTCTTCAGAAAACACATCCAGTGTAGTAGCATGGAACCCAAAGTCATGGGTGCTGGAGTCTGCACTTTTTACATTGTGTCTTAGTGGCCATGCGTGGCAGTTGAATCATGTATGTTCAAAGTGGATACTTAAACTCACAGTTTCAATAGACTTGAGCCTGTAACCTAGTCATCCTGATGAGTCTTCCTTCTGTTTCTCAGTTTCTGCCACAGAGGTCACACTCCTCCCACCGTGCCTGTGCAACGCCCCACAGCAGTGCTCTCCACCAGATGCTGGACTTCGATGAGTTCATCCTCCCTGTCCCGCCCCCACCCTACTACCCTCCGGAGTACACCTGCACGCCTGCCGTGGATACACAGAGGTTTGTCCCCCAATGCGGGCATCCATGGGATGAGGCCAGGGAGGTAAACAAGTAGGCTTTGGAATGTCAGTGATGGAAGTTGCCTCATCTCAGAGATATCAAGCAGAATATGGAGGCATGTTGACAAGGGTAGAAAAGGAAGGGGAGAGGAGGCATGCTCTAGCAATAAAACTTCTTTGTTGGAGTGTTCTCAGTGTGATGAAAAGGAAAAAAAAATCCTGGCTAACTAAAGCAGTTCTGTTATGTTCTGGTGAACTATAAGACTGCTTTGTGATGATCATTATTAAGGTAAAATTAAGTTAAAGATTTACCTAATTTTAATGCTAAGGCCATAGAGTTTATTGAAAATAGAGATAAAAAAAAAAAGAAAATAGAGATGCCTTTCCAAGAAAACAGAGAGCAGAATTACCAGTGGCTGGTGAGTGAGGCCTCCCTTTCACAGTGAAGTGTGCTTGGGTGCAGGGGCGGGGCCTGGATGGCCCTCTCTGTGCTCTGCAGTGCCCATAGCCAGGCTCAATCGCTCTAATGGCCTATGTGTGTGTGCCTTTCCAGAGGCCTGCACCTGAACTTTGCTCCTTCTCCCTTCAATACCTTATATGATGTCGCCATCAACAGCCCTGGCCTGCTGTATCCTGCCGAACTCCCTCCACCGTATGAGTCCGTGGTGGGACGGAGCATGCCCAGCCAGGTAAGATCAGGCCTGGACTAGACTTGCTCTCAGTGTTTGAAGATCATCCTGATTAGGGTTGCTGGTCTCCCCAGCTAGTAGTGCAGTGGAGCCACAAGGTATGGAAGGTAGTGTCTGCTCATCAGGCACTGCTGGTGCCTGTGCTACAGAGATACCAGCCTGGCTGTGCCACCTAACACCAGTGCTTCTCCCTTGGCCTACTGGCTGTGACCTGCATTACAGCTCAGATTTATCTGAATTTACTGGTAGCCCGGTGCCCAGAGCATCTGCAGGAACCTGGTGTGGGTTGTCACGTAGGGGCAGAGAGCTCTGGGGTGGATAGGAGTACATGGACATGCACTTCTCAGTACCCTAATGTGACAGCCACTGTCACTGTTATTTTCAACATTGAGTGACACAAACGAGTCAGATGTGAACAGTTGGAAAGCTCATGTAACAAGGATGTAGTGAACCTGGTGCAAGTCCAGGAGTCCTTAGGAGATGCTCCCAGGGGAGGACAATTGAGAATGTGGTGCAGAGAGATGGGCACATGCATGGAAGCCAGACTCCACCCCAGAGGATCATGATAGGAGTCCGTGAAGTAGTTCCGAAGACCACAGGTTCAATACTGGATAGTTTACAGTTACATTTCAGTATGCCTATCAGTATGCCTTTGAACTGTGATGTTGGAGAAGAGTAATAAATATCCCATGGATTACCAAAAGAACAAACAGATATGCTTTGGAAAAGGTGCGGCCAGAGTGCTCCTTGGAGGCAAAGGTGATAAAGTTTTGTCTCATATTCTTCAGGCACATTGCTAAAAGAAGCTATTCATTGGAGAGAAACAACATGCTTGGGAAGGTGGAGGGATGGCCAAAGAGAGGAAGACCCTCAACCATATGGATTGACACAGTGACCACAGCAATGGGCTCGAGGTGTCAGAGATTGTGAGGATGGTATAGTATAGGACAAGGTTCAGATCTGTTGTTCATAGGGCCACAATGAGTAACACTCGACTTGACAGCACCTAACAACAACTGTGGGTTTATTAGCACCACAGAGAACCCTGAAAATAGGTGGATAGGTATCCTGTCACCCTACTCTGAGTTCAGACTTGTATGTCCTACTTTTCTTTACGATGTACAGGTAATTTCAGATCAGGTTGACACCTTCACTACTCATGCGGACATCTCTTGTCCATGACTGTGGACCCCTGAACCCTAAATCTAGGGATGTAACACCCAGGGCCACACTACTCTGTGAAAGTACCAGAATCCCTGGGTACAGTCTACTTAGAGGAGCTGACCCCAAGTTCTGATGCTCATAAAATCTAAGACTATTCAAGAAGAGGGCCACCACTCTGCAACTTCACTGCTCTTACACTCACATGCATGTCCACATGTGCACATATCCACACTCAGCTTCCTAGGACCCCAGCCTGCCTTGATCCACACCTACCATTCTCTATCCTACCCCTCTTCCTGGTACCTGTCAGGTCCTAGCTCTCAGAGAATCATCTCTGAAAGCCACTCTAATGTTTGTCAGAGAAAAAAGGAGATAAGATAGGACAGTCATGAGAGGGAGAGTAGAGCCTTAAGTGTGTGACAAAGCAGATCGAAGAAGAGGCCGTGCAGTGAAAGAGAGACTCAGGAAGAGAGCCACTGATAGACAGAGAGCCCTAGAAAGTTGGTGGAAGAGCAGGGCATAGAGGGAGAGACTGTGCATAATTAGCAGAGAGGTCTTGAGGACCAAGACCGGAGCCCTGGAGACTGAATGTGGTTCTTCACAACTACTGTAGGAAGAGCAACGTGTCTCTGCTGGGGGCCTGCTGGAGGTGAATTGTGACCCCTCAAAACATGTTGAGTTTCTGACCACTGTTCCTGTGGGTATGATCGTGTCTAGAAATCAGGTTTCTCTTTCTTGATGATGAGGTCATACTAATGTAGCCCTAAACCTAGTAACTTCTGTATTATTAAAGGAAGAGGATTGACAGCTGACAAACATGAGCAATGACAGATGCCAAGGAGTGCCAGGGCTTTGTGGAGCTAGTAAAGGAAGGATGCACCCTAGAGTCACCCAGCTCCCAGCACTGCGGGACAATAAGTCCATGCTCTTGGAAGCCACCACCTGTGACACTTTTGATTGCAGCAGCAGTGAGAGACTGGACAGGCCTCACCTCGGTTGCCTCATACTCCTCCATTTTGAGCACTTATTTCTCCCCTGTCCACAGAATTATCTGGAATACCTTGGGCACGGCCCTCTCTGCCTTCCTCAGAGCCTCTGCTACTTAAGCAGGAGGAGGAGGAGGAAAAGGATAAAGCACAGGAAGCCAGACCCACATGCTCCAAGGCCCTGTGTATGCATGAAAGAAGCTTCCAGATAAAAACTGACTGAGAGCCCCATCACACCTAGATGTTACAAAGATAATCCGTTAGTGGTTTGTTGCTCTTTTATTCTACTTCTCATTCTTTCACAAAAGAGTGAGACCAGCTTTGAGATCAGACACTTGCCTTGCACCATTATTCCCTTAAGAGAAGTGGTGGTGAGGAGGTCTTGGACGTTGAGTTTCTGTGAGAGGGAGGTAGCATCTGAGGTGAACGGAGTTTGCTGAGCTCTGGTGGAGGCCATCCATGCCTACACGACTGGCTTGTTTTGACATCATGGCCCCAGGACACCTTTCAATCCCAGAGACACAGCTGAGCATCTGGAAGTTAATGAACCCCATTCTCCTCCAGCTCTTTGTGGCTTCCTGCACCAGGCAACCTCACCCAAGCTGAGGAGAACATGGACAGCAACTGTAAGGAACAGTCCCCTTGACTGAACAGCACCTTTCTCAGGAGAAGAGACAATAAATTGCTTCCCCGTGTTAGGACAAATGATGTATAAATGATTTATCAGGCCTGTTTGAAAAACAGGGCAGACGTACTGAGAGTGGCTGGTAGGTAGCATATGAGTACATGGGCTCCATGTGCAGAAGCAGGGCCAGAGTTGTCCCTTAGACTGCAGGAGGGAAAGGACATTTGTTGGAGCAGGTTCATCTGTACCGCCATGCTCCTGTGACCAGGTAACACTGAATGCTGCCTTGTGATCTGCCGAGTGATACTGTTGTCTCCATGGTGTGACTGTACTTTCAGCAGGACAGAAAAAGTGTGGTTTTCTCGAGGTTGCAGTCACTTACTGAGCTGTGAATGTGTGACATTCCTGTTTGGATGGCAGCTTGTGTTGCACTGACTGCTAGATTGTGCTGTGTACCATGGAAGAGAATAGTAACCTGATGAGAAAACTGTCCCTAGAGAGACTGTCAGTCTCATGTCGCAATACTGTTAGTTGGCACAACCTCAGTAGCAGTGCTGTTAGCTGGCACAGTGTCAGATAGTAGTACTGTTAGCTGGTATAGTTAGCTGGTACAGTCTCAGGTAGGAGTACAGTTAGCTGGTACAGTCTCGGGTGGGAGTACAGTTAGCTAGCAGTCTCAGGTAGCAGCACCATTTGCAGGTACAGTCTCACACAATTGTACCATTTGCAGGTACAGTCTCATGTAGTCAACTCAGGTAGCAATATTATTTGCAGGAACAGTTTCACATAACAGACACAGGTAGCATTACCACTTGCAGATAAATACTCATGTAGAAGTACCATTTGCTGTTAGGTCATCTCTAGAGTGGTGACCCCTTGTGCACATATCTATTGGAGTAGAAAGAACTCTGGTGCATAGAATTTTCAATGTCTGATTGTTCAAAAAGTAATCAACACTTTCTTCTGATGATCCACTGAGTGGACTTGAACCATTAACCATTGGGTTAATAACTGAATATATTAACCATTTGTACCACCCAAAAACTTTGGTATAGAACAGGTACACATAGGACCTGTTTGGGGGCTTAGAGGAAGAACAAAGACTGACATTTGGGTGGGATCAGGAGGTTGATACACTAAGGGAACATCATCCACAGGAGATGTGGAGCTGAAGGTGGAGGTAGAGGTGGAAATGGAAGGTCCTGGTGAAGCTGTATGAAGGGCATTCATAGTCCCATTACAGAATGAATGACCTTGGGTGTTGTTAACAAGAGTGGTATTTGCAGTTGATTGGAGTCTCTGATGCTGTAGGAAATTTAAGATAATGGGATCATGATGGTAGAAGAGAGACCAGGGGCACAGTGATCAATATCAGATGATGCCAATGAGCATGACACTAGGTAGGCTGTGAAACAATGGCAGATAAACATAGAGGTGCCATTGTCAGACCTTCCCAACCTTCACAAAAGAGGACAAGCAGAAAGAAGCCCAGAAGCCTGAGGCAGATTCTTTTGAAGTCAGATATGCCCTCCAGTGTTCAAAGCTGCATCTTCCAATTCTAAAACCAGCCACAGCACTCTGTACTTCTCTACTGAACTGAATAATTCATTGCACTGGCCACATATAACTCACAGACAATACTCTCGATTGTGGTTTATTAGGGAAGAAACAAACTGCAATTCAGGATCAGGACTGACTCAGAATACAGTTCTTTTTCAGTCAAGACAACCACTTATGGGCTGTACAGGAAAGTGGGCCCTTGGTGTGAAGTGCACAATTCTAGCTCTATGAGTCAACAAATCTAACCCCGCCTCCCAACAAATACCCAAAGGCATCCACTTCATCAATAAGTCTCCTGCCACAAAGATACTGAGCTCCCTCATTCCAAGGGCCAGGGAATTCATAACTTCATCTCAAGCCAGTCATCTGGGTCTCTGCCCCTGTTGGCCATTGATGCTTATGTGTTACAGTTGTGCATCTTCTGGATGGAGGCAAATTTGGGGCAGGGGTCTTAGATCAGAAGGATGCATTGCGATGCTTAGCTTTTGTTTCTTTCTTTTTTTAACCATAAAAGCCTTTATTAAAACTTAAGATCATCTTTTACCGTATTGAAATTCATATTTTCTTAAAATTTCTATAGAAAATATAGGATAATTAGCATACCATTTTTAAAAAAAGTTTTATAGTGGCTTACTTATAAAGTTTGTATGCATTGTTTTTCACAC